GTTCTTTATCATTTCTTTCCCTTTCTCTATTGTTCTCTCTCTCTCTCTCTTTCTTTATCTCTCTTTATCTCTCTTTTTCTTTAATTCTGTCACTGTTCTATTTCCAGAGTTTTTCCATGAATGATTTAATTATTATTAAAGATATTCTCATTGCCAATCTATGCAACTCAGAAAAACAATGTATATTATCTGACATTTTAAATTTAACTTTGATAAATGCAAGTTGATCAATGCAATAATTATTAATGTTATTTCAATAAATGTAATTTTATGTTTTCAAGCCGGGTTTTACATCACGTATTCATGAAGATCATACATAACAATGTTTAATAATTGTATTTTATCGATTTATTTTTTATATATACTTCATGTAAATGTTACAGTTTAAATATTTAGTTTCAATTTTGTTATGATCAATAATCATTTTTCTCTTAATACATTATCAAAATGTCCTGCACCGACTCTCAAACTGTATATCTGATCTTACACCCTTTGATTTTCTATTTATTTCATATCCAAGTATGCAAACCGAACTCAATATTATTATTGTTTTCATTATTTATGATTTATGTACTATGTACTGTTTATATCTGGATTCATTTAAAAGTGTTAAAGCATATAATTATATTTTTATGTCTATGAAATTATTTTTACCTTGTAAATTCACTTGCATCAGCCTCCAGCGGTATTGTTGAATATTCGAATAAAAACTTATCAAACAATCAAACAAACAAACAATTAATCCAAACATATTCTGCATACTAACAATTAAAAGACATGAAGTGAATATATAGTATGTAAAATAACAAAAATTATGTAAAATTTATTTAATTTTCTTTCTTTTTTTAAATTATTCACCATGAATACGTATTATAAAATTGAAAGTCAAAATCTGCCACTTTAAATTATTAGAATTTCAATTTTTAAGCATTTTGTTACATTTGTTTTACCAATATTTTTAAAACAAAGCATAGGCTACTTCTGAGCACTATTTTTTTCTCTCCAGGGCGTCTGTTATAATATCATGACTTGCACCGTATTACAAAACACATTATAAAACATGATTTCTTAAAAACAAAAACCCATGAATCAATATCACAACTTTTTGCAGTAAAACAATGACCATCGGATGTACAAAAGAACATCCTTGTAAGTGATGGGTGCTTTGTGGTTGACTTCACACACACACACATCAAGGACATTTATATCGGGCTTTTTATTAACAATTGCGCCTTGTTTGTTACCATAACTTCATGTTATGAGCCTGAGGATTATCTGGAAAGACGCTGATGTTGTTCCTGTGCCAAAAAGAGAAACCACCGGTCGTCACGAAACTCAGACCTGTGTCGCTTAATTACATCACAGTGTGCCAAAGTCTGTGTGGGATTTGTAGCTAAATGGATCGAAGAGGACATGGTACCAAATATTGATCGTCATCAGTATGAGAGCTTGGAAGGCTCCTCTACCATTCAATGTTTAGTTTAGATGATGCATCCATTTTACAAGGGGTCGGATAAGCCCAACTTTGTTGGAAATCTTGTAGTAACGGACTTCTCAAAAGCCTTTGACTCAATTGACCACACCATGGTTGTTACCAAACTTCTAGAAATCGGAGTTCGCCCTGAAATCATCCCATTGATTGGTAATTTCCTGACCAACAGGCAACAGAGAGCGAAGTACCAGAATGCTGTTTCTGCTTGGAAGGGTCTAACCTGTCCCTTAGGCCCGCTGGCTTTTCTCGCACTTATCAACGATGCACTATAGGATCAACTGAGTTACAGACTTAGAAGTATGTGGACGACCTTAGCATCGGAAAGACATTAAAATTGAATGAGCCGTCTTGTATGCAATGAGCTTGGACAATGGGCTGACCAACACCACTTACACCTGATGGTGGGTTCCTACTGCCGATCAAACCAACCCGACCAAGCCCAATCAAGCCCGACCACATGCCTAAACACAAGTTCATCCCGACCACTATTCGACCATTTACGACCCACATTCGACTATTCACGACTCCTGCGTGACGTATAGTCGACCACAACTTCGATCTCTTCTCGATCATTCCGCTCTACATACAATCCCAACGCGATCGCTACTAGATCAACTAGACATACACATGATCTGTGATCTCTACACAATCTCGACCCGACCTGTACGAACATGGATCCAAGATGCCTCGTGATTTGAGTGGTTGCACAGAATATTATCGTCAGCTGATGGTCAGTACTCATTTTTGATCAATTTTCAGTTCATCTTAGACACTAAAGAGATGGAAATCGAACAGTAACAGTTGTGGGTAGTGGCGGAACCAGTGGGGGGGGGGGGGGGGGGAGGGAGGGGGGAAAAGATTTTGTTTTGTTTTGTGTGTCCATAAGAAAGCAACAAAAAGTGCTCCTCCCCCCCCCCAAGCCACTGAACGAAATATCTGACGACGTAATTTTCCAATTTCCGCCCCCCCCCAAAAAAAAAGGCTCATCTGACCATGATTAAATACCTTAATACCCCTGACTTTCCGGGGGTTCTGCCCCCTGGATTTCACCAAGGGCCCAAAGTCAGGCACCTGAATGCTCATCTGACGGTAATTTAATGCCTAAAACCCCTGAGTTCCTGGGGGCTCCGCCCCCTGGACCCCACACCACTTAGTGACCTACCAGTGCCACAAATAAGGTATCAAAATATGCTCATCTGAGCGTAAATAAATGCCTAAAACCCCTTGATTCCCCCCAAGCCACTGAACAAAATATCTGACGACGTAATTTTCCAATTTCCGGGGCAATTTTTTTTTTTGCTCATCTGACCTTGATTAAATGCCTTAAAACCCCCGAGCTTGCGGAGGCTCTGCCCCCTGGACCCCACCTAGGGCCCTAAGGCGGACGGCTGGACGCTAAAAAATGCTTTAAACCTCTGAGCTTCAGGGGTCTCGGCCCCCAGGACCTCACGCCAATAAGTGTCCTGCCAGTGTCACAAATAAGGTATCAAAATATGCTCATCTGAGCGTAATTAAATGCCTAAAACCACTTGAATCTGACGACGTAGTTTCCAATTTCCAATTTGAAATTTGCTTATCTGACCTTGTTTAAATGCCTTAAAACCCTGAGCCTCCGGGGGCTCCGCCCCCTTGACCCTACCAAGGGTCCTAAGGCTTGCCTAACCGTTATAAAATGCCTAAAACCATTGAGCTACTGGGGGCTCCGCCCCTGGACCCCACGCCAATTCGTGACCTGCCAGTGTCACAAATAAGGTATAAAAATATGCTCATCTGATAATAATTTAATGTATTAAACCCCTGAGCTTCTGGGGGCTCCGCCCCTGGACCCCACACCAATTTGTGTCCTGCCAGTGTCACAAATAAGGTACAAAAATGTGCTTATCTGACAGTAATTAAATGCCTAAACCCCCTCAGCTTCTGGGGGCTCCACCCCTTGTCCCCCGCCGAGAAACGTTCAGCGGCGCCTGCATGTAAGAGTGGGGTGATGGGGATTTTTGTGTGTGTCTACCCCCCTCCAAACGTTTTTGCTACTGCCGGTGTTACCACGACGTACATAACTTCAAATTTTGCCCCCCCCCCCTTAGAATTCCTGGATCCGTGCCTGCGTGTCGCAGTCACACGTTACTACCAATTCTAGAAGCGATTAACTTAGTATCTATATACCGGTACAAATAAAATGTGATTAGATCAGCACATAATAATGTCATTGGTTGAGTTGCGATCGGAAAGATCGAGTGCGGTCGAGAAGTGCTCGGGATGTGATCGAGAAGCAGTCGAGAAGACAGTGAGCGAGTTCGGTCGAGTAACTGTTTAGGGCAGACATGTATCGATCGTAAAGCGGTTGAGTTGTTGATCGAGTTGATCGGGAACCAATCGTGTAGAAGTTGTGTATAAATCAAGATCATCGGGTAGTGATCGGCGGAAAAATCCACCCCGACCAAACTAGACCTCTATACGATCGGTTCCTGATCAGCTCAACCTCTACCCGACCAGTACACGATCGCTGTACGATCGCTTGCCTTCTCGACCCCAACAGGGTTTTTTTTTGACGTGCCAAAAATTGTCGTGTAGGAAGCCAGATCGATACCGATCAAGGTAGACCGACCCCGATCACCCTTGTCGACCAAGCCCGACCAGGCAAAAATGGCTTGATCGGGCTTGGTCGGGTTGGTTTGATCGGCAGTGGGAACCCACCATGAATGCGGCCAAGTGCAAACAACTCCAGGTTTGCTTCAAGCCATCATAACCTGAGCCACCTACCTTAGGCTCAAATGTTTTGGATGTGGTAGCTGAGACAAAGATTTTGGGTGTATGGATTCAAGATGACCTGAAATGGGGAAAGCAGGTTAAAGAGACGATGTCAAAGAGCTAGCAAAGAGTACACATTTTTAAGTAGATTGAAAAGTTCAGAATCCCTCATGAAGACTTAGTAGCTGTGTATAAGTCCTATGCAGGGGCGTACGCAGGATTTTTTCAAGGGTGGGGTTTTAAAATATTTTGCTCCCGAAAATCTGAAAATCGCGCCGGCCGAAAAGTCGCTCAGTGGGGGGGAGGGGGGGGGGGGGGGGGGGGGTAAGCGGACACTTTTTTTTTTTTTTTTTTTTGAGGTCAAAAAAAATCGCAACGACTCAGCCAGCCGAAAAGTCGCTCAGGGGGGGGGGGGGGGGGGGGGGGGGGGGGGGGGGGGGGGGGGGGGGGGGGGTAAGCGGACACATTTTTTTTGTTTTTTGGTCTCGAAATTTCATAATTTGACATTTTTTGTCGTTGGGGGTGGGGGTAAGGGGGGGGTAAGGTCGCCTTATTTAGGTTAGCCGTGGGTATAATTTTTTTTTTTTTTTTTTTTTTTTTTTTTTAAATAATAAACAAAACAAAAAACAAAAAAACAAAAAACAAAGGGGGGGGGGGGGTTTTAGGTTTTTAGGGGGGGGTTTACATACATAAAAATACCAAAGTATTGGTAAAAAAAAGTATGGGTAAGGTCGCCTTATTTAGGTTAGCCGTGGGTATAATTTTTTTTTTTTTTTTTTTTTTTTTTTTTTTTTTTTAAATAAAAAAAAAAAAAAAAAAAAAAAAAAAAAAAAAAAAGGGGGGGGGGGGGGGTTTTAGGTTTTTTTAGGGGGGGTTTACATACATTAAAAATACCAAAGGGGGGGTTTGAACCCCCAAACACCCCCCCCCCCCCCCCCCCCCCCCCCCCCCCCCCCCCCCCCCCCCCCCCCCCCTGCGTACGCCCCTGGTCCTATGTGCGGCCAGCTCTTGAATACGCGGCACCGGTGTGGCACTCTGGACTCAACAAGCAACAGACTAGTGACCTGGAAAGATACAGAAGAGAGCGATGAGGATTGTTCTTGTCCCGCATTATGCGTCCTATGAAGATTCTCTCAGGAAAACGACGATGGAAACTTTGGAAGAAAGAAGGCATGACCTTAGTACAAACAAAGTTTGTTGTCGCAGTGTGTGCAGTCGCAAAGGAACTCTGAATTGTTCCCAGTCAATGATACAACTTATACCATGAATCTCCGTTCAGGCAAAAAGTACAAAAATGTTCAGAACCAGTGGCGCCCCCCCCCCCTGGAAAAAAAAGGGGGGAAAAAAGGGGGGGGGGAAGAAGGAGAAGAAAAAAAAGAAGGGAAAAAAGTAGGACAAAAAGAGAAGGGAAAAAAGAAGGATAAAAAAAGGAAGGAAAAAAAAAGAACGAAAAAAAAGAACAAAAAAAAAGAACGAAAAAAAAGAGAAGGAAAAAGAGAAGAAAATAAAAGGGGAAATATATCAAAGGTATCAAAATATGCTCATCTGACCGTAATTAAATGCCTAAAGCCCCTTGACTTCCAGTGGCTCTGCCTCCTGGAACACCATCTAGGTCCTAATGCGTACGGCTGGATGCTAATCTGACGGTAATTTAATGCTTAAAACCCCTGAGCTTCGGGGTTCTCGGCCCCCTGGACCTTACGCTAATGAGTGCCTGCCAGTGCCACAAATAAGGTATCAAAATATGTTCATCTGACCGTAATTAAATGCCTAAAACCGGGGCTCGACCTCACCAGGGGCCCTAAGGCGGGCCCCTGCATGCTTGTTTGACCGTTATAACATTCCTAAAACCCCTGAGCTCCTGGGGGCTCCGCCCAATGGACCCCACGCCAATTATTTACCTACCAGTGTCACAAATAAGGTATAATTATGCTCATCTGAAGTAATTAAATGCCTAAAGCCCTGAGCTTCCTGTGCTCTGCCCCCCCCCCCGACCCCAACCAATGGCCCTAAGGCGGACCCGGGATGCTCATCTGACTGTCTATTTCCTAACACCCCTGAGCCTCCGGGGGGCGCTTTTTTCCGTACCGCTAATGCGTCGCAGAGGTTATTTAGACGACTTGAATAGAGGCAACATCAAATTCCATAGTTTTGGGATTGAAGTGAACCTGTTCAGTTTTGAAGTGTAATCCAGCCAAAACCTTTGTTTTGTTTGTCTAATAATCCTTTGGGCTTTAGATTTTCATCATTCAATACTCTCAATAACCTATTTTTGTATTCGTTCCGTTCCTTAATCTTTATTTTGCATTTTTCTGTCCAAATGGGAGTTCAGTGTGTGTGTCGGATGTTGCCTCTATTCAAGTCGTCGAAATTACCTCTGCGACGCATTAGCGATACGAAAAAAAGCGCCTCCGGGGCTCCGCCTCCTGGATCACCCGCCAATTCGTGACCTGCCAGTGTCGCAAATAAGGTATAAAAAATATGCTCATCTGACCGTCTATTACCTAACACCCCTGAGCCTCCGGGGGCTCCGCCTCCTGGACCCTACGCCAATTCGTGACCTGCCAGTGTCACAAATAAGGTATAAAAAATATGCTCATTGACCGTAATTTATTGCCCAAAACCCCTGAGCTTCCGGGGGCTCTGCCTCCTGGAACACCATCTAGGGCCCTAATGCGGGGGCTCCGCCTTCTGGACCCTACGCCAATTCGTGACCTGCCAGTGCAACATATAAGGTATACAAATATGCTCATCTGACCGTAATTTATTGCCCAAAACCCCTGAGCTTCCGGGGGCTTCGCCCCCTGTACCCCACACCAATTCGTGACATACCAGTGTCACAAATAAGGTATAAAAATTATGCTCATCTGACGTTAAATTTATGTATAAACCTCTGAGCTTCTGAGGGCTACGCCCCCTGGACCAAACACCAATGTGTGTCCTGCCAGTGTCACAAGTGTAATTTATTGCCCATAACCCCTGAGCTTCCGAGGGCTTCGCCCCCTGTACCCCACGCCAAGTCGTGACATACCAGTGTCACAAATAAGGTATAAAATTATGCTCATCTGACGATGATTGATGTATAAACCTCTGAGCTTCTGAGGACTACGCCCCCTGGACCCAACACCGATTTTGTGTCCGTGCCAGTGTCACAAATAAGGTATCAAAATATGCTCATCTGACCGTTATTTATTGCCCAAAACCCCTGAGCTTCCGGGGGCTCCGCCCCCTCGACCCAACGCCAATTCGTGACCTATCAGTCTCACAAATAAGGTATAAAATATGCTCATCTGACCATAATTTAATGTAAAAAAAACCCTGAGCTTCAGGGGGCTCCGCTCCTGGACCCATAACCAATTTGTGTACTGCCAGTGTCACAAATAAGGTATAAAATGATGCTCATCTGACGATAAATTTATGTATAAACCTCTGAGCTTTTGAGGACTACGCCCCCTGGACCCAACACCGATTTTGTGTCCTGCCAGTTTCACAAATAAGGTATCAAAATATGCTCATCTGACCGTTATTTATTGCCCAAAACCCCTGAGCTTCCGGGGGCTCCGCCCCCTCGACCCAACGCCAATTCGTGACCTATCAGTCTCACAAATAAGGTATAAGGTATTTTTTGGAGATGCCCCTCCCCACCCTTGGCGCTCAAGGGGGGGGGTTCAATTTTTCAAATTTTCGAGGGCCCCCCCCAAAAAAAAAAATAGTGCTCCCTAACCCCCCCCCCCCCGAATTTTGCACTCACGCACACAATGCCTCCTGTTCATCCAAGCGTAAACACATCCCACACTAAAATGATACCAAATTAATAGGGGTAAAACACTCTTTCATAAGATGTATAATAATTTACTGTTCATAGATGATTTTAAAAATAATTAGCAATTTTCTAGGTGTAAACTTTCTTTTGACTCACACTGTACAAGACGAGCTATCATAAGAAATTTTCTAGAAATAGGTTAAGAATACTGTAAGTATTTATGTTTCTCAGATATTCTAATATTAATTATATTACCTGTAAAGTATTTATTTTGTATATACTTTGCATTGTGTTATAAAATATGCTGTTTATAAATGAAATGTGATGTCATTTTTAACTTGATTGTAAATTGTCATGTAATTCAGCTGAGGCTGCGATATGATAATAGAACAAACTGAACTGAACTGAAAAAATTATCAAACCAAAGTTTTGATCCCCAATCACAGCTATAGCAGATGAGGTTTGATTCACTAAAGAAGCTAAGTAGAACTGCATTTATTCTGATTGAGGCCTCATGGTACATTCCTGAATCTGATTCCCCCAAAAGTCATGTTACGACACAATGATGTCACAGATGATCTAACAGGCTGCATATAATGAGGACGAATTCATAACATTTATCACATGATTTAGTTGAACTAAAATTGTTGGTCGTTCTTGAATTTTCTTTTCCGTTAAAAGTTTTCATCTTGACTCAACGAGGTAGCAACGTACCATGATGTTTGAGCAACCTTGCAAGCTCTTGATTTTCGCCACAACCATCGTGCTCACCCAAAGTCGACTGGCAGAATATCTGCATGGAGGATGTTACCGCCAACCAAACATCATACCATTCGAACCTATCGTCTTAACCCAAGCACAGTCTATCGAGATTGCCAAAGCCAAGGAAAGTGGTTTCATCGATGCTCTCCGAACCAACAAGACACTAACGTACCAAAACCAACAACCGATTATAACTGATTTCACCGAAGACCAGAAGGCACGAGTGTTGGAGGTGTACAAAGAATTCGGAGGGAACCGGGGGACGACGAAGGGGTCTATGACAATCTGCTGTGGGAACCCATTGAACACCGTGTGGAACCTGCACCTGTCATCCCGGCAACCGGGATCGCAACACGTGAATCTGAACCTGCAGACAGCGCACCACGTGTACGACGAGCTGTATCAAACGTGCCCATCTGCCCTGTCCAAAACATCAAGCAGATTCTAATTACAGCATTTAACGCGGATGATAAACCATTACAGATTGTTCAGGTAAATTCTAGAATATTTCCCATTCCCATCTTCCATCCTCTCATACCATCGCCATCTCCACCCATCATCAGTCCCATGATGGATCCTTTCTTAATTAGGGGTGTGAGACATTCCTTATTTTTAACCACAAAAAAAAATCCCTCAGCAAATTCGAATTTTGGTCAACTTGTCAGCATTTCACAATAAAGGGTATTAGTAATTGTATTCCTTATACATTCTGTCGGGGGTGTACTTTTTCTTGGAAATGTTGGATTTTTTGTTGCTGATCTTTTGCTGCAGTGTGGTACTTAACGACTGGTTTTACATATTTGTTGGAAGTTAATAGTGTCCTAGCATCCTTGAATTATGCACTGTGTTTACTTTTTTTTTCTTCAAAGTTCTCTGGATTTGATCAATGGGTGCTTCGTCAACAATGCACGGGGTCCCTGTCATCTCAAGGTCAACTGTCTATGAATGGAGCCGAGGGCCCATTGATGCGCATCTTATGCCATACCATCCGGAGATCCGCCTTCCTTGTCGCTATCCGTCTGGACGACGACGATGTGAATCGCGGGGATATTGCTGTACAGGAAGTACAAGTGGAGTCATGTTCTAGTTTTGTTGGGGAATAGGCCCACAGTATACAGGCTAGATGTAAAATGATATTGTTGTTCTTCTTCTTAATAATAATTAGTATCCCCATCATTATTATTATATTAATGCTATTATCATTGACATCATAATAATTTAATCATAATTTCTCTGACGTTTGAACACACTATCCTTATTGCAACAAATATGACATCAGATATGGCTTTGCTAATGACATGCAACGGAACAATCCCGACTAATGACTATCGTGAAATATTGGATGAATCTCATCTAAAGCGCATTTCCTCTAGCGATTGCAAACCAAATCTAAACAATTTACAGAATCACGTGT